CAGCGGAGAGATGATCGAAGGACGTGAAATAGAGAGCTAAAATGAGAAGAGAGGAAAGCTGGAAGGGAAGAGAGGAAAACTGGAAGAGAAGAGAAAAAAAAGAGAGGACAGAATGAAAGACTGAAAAATCAAGAAAAACAGAGCATGAAACACGGATAGGTTCGAGACAGAAAAAAAGAAGAGAACCGTGGGAGGAGACTGATCCAAAACTGGAAAAAGAGAGAGCCAAGGACGATAGGGAGGAGAAGACAAAAAGAAAAACACCGGCAAAGGAGGAGGAGAGAACCGGACGAAAAAAGAAGAAACAAGGACCAGAAGAAAGTAGAGAAGAGAGCACAAAAAAACGAACAAGAGAGGGAAGGAGAAGAAGTTGGAGAAAGAAGAGAGACCGAGGGTGAAAGAGCATCAGTAGAGGGAAAGAGAGAGATCTTACATTTTATTACTCTCTCACGGCAAGATTTGGAGATAGAAAGGGAGAGAGATTCAAATGGTTTGGGATCCTTACCATCATGTTCCTGATCATCTGGCTGCTGCGTTTTCACGAGGAGATGGTGTATGATTCTCTCAACAAATTTTGAGTCTTCAACGTCTACTTTCTACTAATGTTCATGGGTTATATCTTCATGTCTTGTCAAGCAACAATGGCATACCATATGATACCGAGTGAGAGTTTGAATTGATGTCACACGAGTGCTGGATGTTTTACAAGCAACAAAGAATCAAAAACACATTCAATACTTGAGGTTGAGGTGATGAAAGTGTTGTCTTGAGAAGAAGAAGAATGCAAACTTAGAATCACAAGTTACTCAGGTGATATTTAAATCGCGTCATCTCCCTTAATTTGGATTTGATTCATTGATGAACATGCATATATTGATAGATGCTAAGAGTGTGGACTGATCCATATATATATGTTTAGGCATTAGAAATTCATGAACAAAATATTTGTTTTAAAATTTAGAACATACTTGAGAGGTGTTTGACAAAATAAAAAGAAGAAGAAGAAGCCTGTGAGAACATCGTTGATAATTTGTTAGGTGATTGTGGTTTGAAGCCGTATCTATTATGGTTATGATCTTGCTAAAGTTTATGCCAAATATGAATTTTTTAGAATATATCCCCAGGTTAAAAGAATAGTGAACTATCAAAATAATTTATTTCTCTATTCTTTCCATTGCTTTCATCGCATGAATCGTTTAGCCAACCATAATATTATGCACTGCCTGCAAATGCAAATATCTTAATTACCTATTTGTCGTGTGAGATTTTATGAATCTCCATAGGCATTTAGAATGATCCTCTATCGTGTAAATCAATAAGATTTCGCAGGTATGAGGATCAATCTTGTATATATTAATATGGGTTCCAAAGACCCATTATTAAAATTAATGTTCTTTTTATAATAAATATTTAAGTCTCATGTAAGATTTTAAGAATCTTCGTAAATAATTAAATTAATTACCTTATCGTGTAGGATAATAAATCCTCGCAGATATCGTGATTCACAATTTGTATGGTAAATACATACACAAATTTTTGTAAATAAAATAAAAAACATTTTTTATAATTTTTAATTAATTAAATTAATGAATTTAAATTATAGTTATATTTACCAATCATATCTTGTGATCATGTGAGATTTTTGAATCTTTGTAGGCTTCTAAGATCATCGTATTATCGTATGAGTCAATAAAACTATGCAGATATTACGATTAAGTTTTTAAAATATATGTAAATTATATATTAAATTAATTAAACTAAAAAGATGTATTTAAATAAATTTAATTCCTTTATCGTGTGAGATTTTGAAATCTCCGCAGATATTTAAGATAATCATATTACCGTATAAGTCAATAAAGTTTTGCAGGTATGATGATTAAGAACCTTTAAAACATGTATATACACACTTAAAATATATTTTTAACACTTAAAATATACATAAGAATAAATAAATAAATTAAATTGCCAAACTCTTCTATCATGTGAGATTTCAGAATCTTCACAAATACTTAGAGCAATTGCATCACTGTATGAATCAATAAGATTCTACAGGTACTGCAATTAAATTTTTAATCATAAAATATAAAAAAAATAATTTTAAACCCTTTCCTTTCTTTATTAAATATTCAAAAATGGAGAAAATAATTAAAATTAAATTACCTTTTGCAATTTAAAACACACATATCAAAATTTTAGAAATTGTTTTATTTGTAAAATGGTGAATTATTTCTAATTAATTTCTCTTCAAAAAAATATATTTTCACCAATAAATTTTTAAGCCTGAACTACGTAAATTTTGATCCCCATCACAGGGTACGTAGTCCTCAGAGTCAGATTTTGAGTCAAGTTCGTCCTCCCTTGTAAATAAATAAACATTTCTCACTCAATTATCATCATTTTTATATCAGACACATGAATATAAAAGGGATAATTAAAATAATTTTAAAACCATATTAATAGAGCACAACAAACTTCAGGTAACCGTTCTCACGAACGGATGTTGTGGGGTGCCTAACACCTTCCCCACATTCAACCGACTCCTGAATCTATTCTCTGATTTCGCAGATCACCCTTATCCTCCATTAATCGGTTTCCCGAGATTTTTCTCAAAATCTTGGTGGCGATTTCTCGTTCGATCCGGTTCCCGCCGCAAAAGCCGGGGCTTCCACTCGCGTGCCGTCCGCATCGCATTTTTTCGGGTGCGACAATAATCATATCTTGACTCTCATGCAATTGATTCCCTTTTCAAATCTGACATCACTGCCTTATACGCTGCATTGATTTCTTTAAATTGCACATCGCAATCCTTTCCCTTTGCATGCATCTGGAAGATAATACTTCTTTGCAAGTTTTCTAAAAGCCTTCTTGACTTTGAAGCATAGAGGCACAACGTCGAATTATTAAAGTCGAGTATTTAAGGATCCACCGTTACATGAGAATGAGAAGAACAACATGAAAATCGAACAATATTAATCTTCCTCGTTTGCATTAATCCGACTCTGATCTTGCTCTTAATTGCAGATTAAGAGATGATAATGATTGTCTACAAAACAATCTCAGTACTGGCAATAGTAGCCATTATAGCTATAACTTAAATTAAATATAAACTCAATGAAACTTATGAGTTGATTATTTGAGTTTAATATTTTTATGTTTTTAATTTATAAAATTGTATCAACTTACTTATAAATTTAAATTAAATATAAAATTGATTAAAATGAATAAACTCATCAATTTTTTTAATAAGTTCTGCTAATTAAATATATAATATATAGAACTCAATTTACAAAAGCAGTAGAACTTAATTCAAAGAAAAATAAAATTTAAAAAGTAAAAACTAATGTAAATAAAAAAGAAAAGCAAGAAATATTAAAAATAAGTTGTCCAATTTTGAAATTTACATGTTAAGTGTGATAAGCTATCAAAATAGTGAATTTAATTTCAATGATTTATATTTAAAATATATTTAAATCATACACTTTTAATTACTATTCATTAAAAATGATAAAATCTTATAAACTTACGACCCAAATTTACAACCACAGCATGAGTTCACTTAAATTCATGATTTTTACAACCTTCAATTTAGATATTTCTCCCAAATTTTTCCATTCTTTTTTCCCTCATTCTTCCACCATCATTTCTCTCATTCTCCCACCACCATAACTTTTCATCATCGTGCTCTTATTTTAATTTTAAAATTAATTCTATAATTCATTCAATTTAATTACTAAGTTTGTTAGATTGTTAGAAAAGAATAGAATAAAATTAACAAAAAAAAAGGGGGGGAAAGAATTAAGTTATCCAATCTTTCATAATCAAACATGAAAAACAACTCAATATCACATGCTTCAAACGTGGAAACATAAAATTAAGGAATTATCACTTAGTCTGATTAATTAAATTACTCATGCCCATTTTGAACATAGTTAACTTGTCTTTTCTGCATATTTTAATCATTATGTTTTTGTTTTTAATTTTTTAAATCAATTCCAATCCTTTCCGCCAAGGAAACCAGCCCTAAATCACTCCTCTGCCTAGTTATCTCGCACCAGCACATTTCTTTCCCATGCCTCACACTCCTCTTTGTCAATATGCGGCTCACTCCAGTCCCCGCCGCCCACTACCGACTACTGTCAAGGTCCAGTCCTGTCCAGTGGCTTTGAAGCCCTTTCTACCTTTCACTGACACGTCATTGTTGATTCTAACTAATATGACAAATACTTTTCTCTCCTCTGTTCTCTGGCCTCTTTTTTTGGCACCACGGTCACATTTACACACTCATCATCACATTAGATTTTTATCATGATTTTTCAATATATTCAATGAGAATAAAATTAACAACTTATTAAATTGAGGTTTTTTCCCAGTAAAACATGTTAAAATAAACGTGCAAATAAAAACTTATCTATCTATTAGTACGCGCTTAAGCTACTTCAATTCTGGGCTATTTATAAAAGAAATAAATGAGCTAGACATGAGCACTATTAGACAGAGAAAAAGAAGTAATCTTCTAATTTTATTTATAAATTATTTTTAATATATTTTATTATAATCAAAGAAATTCTTAAATTTTATTAACTATTTTAAAATTTAATAAGTTTCTATCTTTATATTTAATAAATATTTTTAAATCTCAATATTAATATATTTATTCAAAGTATTTAATAAGAACAAAAATATAAAAAAATATTAAAAATTGATGAGTATCTTATAAATATAATTAATTTTTTTTTATTTTATAAATAGAATTAAAGTAGTATAATTTAGGGGGTTTGGGGTTAGAATGTGATAAACTTAAATTTAAATTTTTATTAGAAGACGTGTTAAATTCAGTATCCAATCATGACTTGGAAAAAAAATTACCTTCCACAAACCATCTAAAAAAAAAAAAAAAAAAACAGAGTACAATTGTTGCAGAGTCGAAGGTATAATTAAAAGCGAAGCAGAGAAGTGGCCGGTTGGCTGATTCTTCAAGTTGATAACAGCACTCTCATGCATTCCCCGTCCCTTCCCTCAACAGTCAATCCTCACCTCCATTTAAACCCCACCCACCAATCCTCCTTCCATTCACGTTCCCAATTCCTCTCTCTCTCCTTCTCCTCCTTCCTCGCCCCTCTTCCTCTCTCTTCATCACCTTCCTCTGCTTCTCTCAACCATGGTCGCTCTGTCTCGCCCTCCTCCTTCACACAATCTCTTCCACTTCAAGTCCCGCAATAATCCCACCACCTTCTTCGACGGAATCCCTGTCGTCGACCTCTCCCACCCCGACGCCAAGTTCTTCATCGTCCAGGCCTCCCAGGAATTCGGCTTCTTCAAGCTCCTCAACCATGGCGTTCCAATGGAGTTCATCACCGCTCTTGAGAACGAAGCCTTCGCGTTCTTCGCCAAACCAAAGTCCCACAAGGACCGTGCAGGCCCTCCTGACCCTTTTGGCTATGGAAGCAAGCGAATAGGCTGCAACGGCGATCTTGGTTGGATCGAATATCTTCTCCTCAACTTTAATCCCGATGTCATCTCCCCCAACACTCTCTTCGTCTTTAATCAATACCCCCCTGCTTTCTGGTAAGCAAAACAGAGTCCCCTGCTTTTTTCCTTCAGTGCTGTGCTCCAAACCAAAACTGTATCTCCCCTTCCTGAATTGAGTTTGATTCCTCTCGGAAGCATTTTGACATTGTAACTTTCAGATAAACTAAGAGGAGCCCAATAAACACGGCCCCGGAAGATGAAGAAATTGTTGTTCAATTGTAGAAATTAGGAGAGGAATAAAATGAGAAAACCGTCAAAAAGAAATCGAGATGTGTAAGAAGCTGCGAAATCCTCATAACTACTGAGAAACCCATCTAAAATCCATGTTGTCATTCTCGCGATATGAAAACCATCTGAAATCCACGACTCTCTTGGGGTCATCTAGTTGTTCTCGTCATGGGAAACCCACACAGTTGTTCCTGCTCTCTTGCCGTCGTTCTTGTTCTCTTGTTTGCTTTCTCCTAGTTTCTCAGCCCCATTCATAAAGAAACTTGTTACAGAGAAAGGAGGATGAATCGGTGGTGAGGGGTGTCGTGTCAAAGTCTTGGAGAGAAAAGATGTATCGGAGATGTGGCATAAACAAGACTGGATTTCTCATGAGCAGTGATTCATTTCCAGTTGATTTTTTGAACGCTGTAGGTTATGCCACGTGGCGACACTGATTTCATACGACTATTGGCTACTCGCTTGGAATCCAGATTTAAAAAAAAAAAAAAAAAACAGTTTCGCGCTGCTCATTTAATATTCAACATTGATGATAAATGCCAAGCTTTGACAGTGGACATCAATGCTGAACAACATTAAACCTTAAAAAATCTTAGTAAACCTCCTAATATCTTCTCATATTGAATGGATGGAGTACATCATTATTTTTCAAAAAAAATAATGCGTGCTTAATATTTAATCTTGAAGCAAACAGACCTGTCATTGCTAAAAAAAAAAAAATAGATTGGCAATTTGGCATATCAAATAAAGCATTTTCACGTACTCATCAAGGGTTAAATTTTGTGGTGTATTTTACAACTTTATTATCCGAATCTTTTTTAAATTTTATAATGGTTTTCTAAAATCTTTTAATCGGATAACAAAAAAGATTTTTTTTTATTCTAATCTGGGTTTAACAATTGGCAGCTCTGCTGTGGAGAAATACGTTTCGGCGGTGAGGAATTTGAGCTATCAGGTGCTGGAATTAATGGCGGACGGGCTGGAGATTGAAGAAAGGAATGCATTTAGCAGGCTGCTGAGGGACGAGAAGAGCGATTCTCTGTTCAGGCTGAACCACTATCCGCCGTGCTCGGGGCCGGAAGCATTGAGTGGAAAGAACTTGATTGGGTTCGGAGAACACACGGACCCACAGTTAATTTCTGTGCTGAGATCCAACAACACGTCGGGCCTGCAAATTTGCCTCAGAGATGGGACCTGGGTTTCGGTCCCATCGGATCACACCTCGTTTTTCATCAATATTGGCGATACCCTGCAGGTACCACTCATCTCAACCTACAATTACAACGATTCATTTTCCCTCAAAATCAAATCTGTTCAAATTCTTCCTGTAATTTTTTACCTAGTCTTGACATCTATCTTATCCGCCTTTTTAACCCTCTCTCTCTCTCTGCTGTGTGTCGCGAGAACAATCGTGATTCCTTAATTGGTTGAAAAAGACGCCATGGTATCCGCCAAACGTTTGATTTCACAGAAGATTCAAGATTCTTTTTTTTTTCCCCCTTATCAGCAATGATACACTGCTGTAGTAATCATCAATTTGTCCAGAACTCGAGGTGGATCAACTGTTGTGTGAAACATGGATGCAGGTGATGACGAACGGGAGGTTCAAGAGCGTGAAGCACAGGGTTGTGACAGACTCGAGCAGGTCAAGGCTATCAATGATATACTTCGGAGGACCACCGTTGATCGAAAAGATAGCGCCTTTAGCTTCATTATTGATGGGGGAGGAGGAAGAAAGCCTGTACAAGGAATTCACATGGTGCGAATACAAGAAGGCTCTGTACAAGTCAAGGCTCGGCGATAATAGGCTGGCCCTCTTCCAGAAAGCTGCAGGCCAATGAGATATTATGAATTATCCATGAATGAAAGGGTCAAGATATAATTGGCACCCCAACTGCTTTAATTTAGCATATTTTAGGTCTTTTCTTTTCTCTGTATGTTTTGTCTGCTGGGAAAATAGGGTTCAAAGGGCTTACTCGACTTGACATGTTAGTAGTGAAAGGAACAAGCTGCTGTTTAATATTGTCTGGGATCCTTTATTTTCTTAATTTTGGTTTTAATTTTCATGTAACCACCAGCGTCGATGTAATGTAGATGGAGCGCAGCTCTTTGTGATGGTGTTGTTTGAATATTAAATAGACTTCTTAATGACTTAAGCGTCAGTTTTTTTCTTTAAAAAAATGTCTGCTTTATTCAAAATAATAAAAGAATAAATGACGGAGTCTAGTCTACGACGAGATGACAAAAAGGCAAGGTTTTAAGACCCAGACCGACCCGGACGGTCGGACTGGTCGAACCGTCGCCCGCTGAAGAAAACGGGCTGGTTCAACCAATTAACTCGGATTAGCAGTTGGCCCGGGTTGACCCACCTAGAACCGGACAGTTTTTAAAGACTCGGGAAAAACCCGGAACCCGGAGCGGGTTTTACGGGTCAACAGCGGGTCGCAAAAAAATGACAAAATTGCTATTTTTAAAAATAAAAAACCCTTCTCCTCACTCTGTCTAGCAGACCAACACCTATAAGGACCCATTCTTCTTCTTTTTAATTTCACTTCTTTCTGTCTTGCACAATGCACGCACTCATTCTCGTCACCTTCTCAAATCTCAGCCATCTGGGTTTTGTTCTATGTGTCATCTCCCTCAAGCCACTCAGCCTTCTAAGCTCTGTCTTCACCGTTCAGCCATCTTGAACTCGCCTTCTCAACCATTTGGGTTCTATGTTCACCCTTCGTTGTCTTCACCATTTAACTTTAGCCATCTCAAACTCTCTCAAACTTCAAATGCTTCTTTATTCTTCATCTTCACTTCACTTTCTTCATTTTGGTTTGTGACTTCGTGTTCTTGGTTAATTCTAGTATAGGCATCCAGTTGTTGAAAGCAATCAGATGGCGTCGAGCTCGACCCCTTTCATGATTCTTCATCTTCTTTGTTGATTGCTCTCTATCTCTCTCTCAGTCCCAGTGAGATTTTCTTTCTCCCTCATTTATATCTCTACCCAATTTAATATAATCTCTATGGTTCTAAATGGAGTAGAATGAATGCTAATAGATGAGCTTGCTTTTTATTATCTGAGCTGTTTATTGCAAAATGAAGGATTGTTGAATGGATGAAGATGAATCTATTTTTTATTGTCTGAGAGTTGTTTATTGCAAATAGAAGTTTTATCTTTTTCAAATGATTATGTCTAAATCCTGATGCATTCAAGAATCTAGTGTTGTATTTATTAACTTGTTTCTTTTATATATATATATATATATATATATAAATAATTTTTTATTTAATTATTAGGTCACCGGTCCAACCGCCGGTCTGACCGGTTGAACCATGAGACCCGTGACCCATTGATATTTTCGGTTCGCTGTCCGGTCCGGATTTTAAAACATTGCAAAAGGGTCTGTTGAGCGTAAATGTTAGATTAACTCCGGAATGGAGTTTTAAAAAAAAATAAAAAAACAGTCAATTTAATATTTATAAATCACACATATACATGTGAATATAATTAAATATTGAATCTTATTAATTTTACGTTTGTAAAGAGGTGGTGTGGTGGTGTTGTCACAACGACGAGCGATGATTGTGAAGGAACAAGGTAGCATGGAAAGGGGAACAAGAGAAATAAATAAAGGATTGAAGAAATTAAAGAATGAAAATGAAAATAGGAGCAAGTGGGGAGGGAGGCCAAACAGCCTCACACATAAATAAGAGAGAAGAAGGTTGTGAAGAGGGTGTCAGGGTGGGGACATTCCCTTGTCTCATGGTCCAAACAGTCGCTCTCGCTTCCAAGCAAAGTGTATTCCCATTTTGACCATCCAGATTAACCTTTCCTTCGCTACCCCACCTTTCATCTTCATCCCCCATCTGTGACGACGACGACGACGACAAATATACATGTCTTGATTTAAAATACGACTTAATAAAGATTTCGCTTATGATCTATGAGATCGTGTGAGTGCTGTTTGAATTTAAAAGCATGCACTAATTATAATGAGTTTCTAAAACTTCATTCACAATTTTTTTTTCACAAAATAGTAAATATCTCAAAAGAAATATTTGCTATTCACAGATAAGGTCCTCCCAACACACACGCACACCATCTATCCAAAGCTAAACATATTATTGTCTGTTGGATTATCGTTATTGTTGCAGGGTGGCAACTGGCAACCACATTATTAATCAACAAGGTGTCATTGACACGTTTGATATATAGAATCCAACTCATCGGATTAATATATACAGATAATCTTACCAAGAATTACTTGACTACTAGTCCCTGTAATTGTGTTAAGACATTTGTTCCTTGAAGAAACAAAATGTCACCAGATGAGTCTTTGGAACAGGAATTCAAAACTACCCTCATGGATAGGCCAAGGTCCTCTTAGTAATCATTGTCTCGGTCAATTTGTGTCAACTCTTGCATTCACTGTTTCATCTAATTTCGTGGAATGTTCTACATGGCTTAAATGTGATTTGAATGGTTCATCTTTTATTTTCTTTATTTTAAACTGGAAAAATTTTCATCTCTAATTAAATATGCATGAACATTCAGGTTTCTTAAGGGAATACTCGCCTCAAAGAGTAGCAATTCATAAAATTTGACATTTGTCTAAATGTCAAATTTTTTTCTATATTTTTTGTGATATCATTTTATAAAATATTATATTTATTTTATATTATCAATTTTTTTTAAAAAATAAAATTAAAATATATAAAACTCTCTTAAACTTTAAGACAGTTACAAATGACTTCCTTCACTTTTAAATATTTAAAATAAACACTCTAGTCTTTAATTTATTTTTCAATGCCCCTACCGTTAATTACTTTGTTATGTTATTAACAAAGTTTACCATGTCGAACTAATTAAGAAAAGCCACATAAAAACTTTATTCATGTTTAAATAAATGTACAAAATTATATTATTTTAATAAATGTATAAATGTATTAATTTTATCCATGCTTTTAAATAAATGTACAAAAATTATATTATTTTTTTAAATATTTATTTATGTATTAGTTTTATACATGTTTTTTGTCAGGATGCGCGATTTCTTATATTAAAGGGTAAATTTTTATTTATATAAATCATTGTTTTGGAAACCGGACTGGACCGGCCGGTCGGACCAATCGAACCGTCGACCAGTTTGGTCGGTCTGATTCAAAGGAAAAAACCGTTTTAAGAGTTGAGTCAGTTTGAGTCGTTTCGAACCGGCGGTCAGACCGAAAACCGGATCCGGTTTTTAAAAATCGGACTGTTCAAAAAAAAAATTTTATTTTTTATCAAATTTTTAAAAAAAATAACTAATTTTTTTAATCATTTGATATTATATTGTATCATATGGCTTGTTAAGTCGTAATAAACTTAAAATATTTAATTTTTTTAAGTTAAATAGCAATTTCATATGTATTTCTTATATTTAAATTAGTATATACATATATAATTTTTTTTTAATTTAATTATTATGTCACCGGTTGGACCATATGAATTGTGAACCGTTGACTTTTCCGGTTCAATGTCCGATTTGGTTCTGAAAACATTAATATAAATATCATCAATGACAGTTTTTAGATTTTTTTTCATTTATTTAATATAAAGAGTTCTTTTAATTGATAAAAAAATAAAATTATATTTTTTTAAAATTGTGTAAACAGTAAATAATGAGAATAATGTCGTTCAACTAAAAAAAAAATGGTCTTGAGTATTCAAAGTTAAAAAAGAAATTACATTTTTGCTCCTCCTTAAATTGTGTTAAAAAACTAATAAAAATATTTTTTTTATATCATGTACCATGTATATTTTATTAATTTGATATGACAAATTTTATTAATAACATAACAGAGTTTATTAATTTTAGAGGGTTTTGAAAAATAAAATTAAAATTAGAAAGTTAATTTTAAATATTTAAGGTTGATGGGTCATATGTAATTGTTTCAACATTTATGGAGTTTATGTGGGGGGGGGGGACCAACGACTTAAGGTTCATTTGGTTTTCTTCCATTTCAAGTTCAGAAAGTAAAATTTTACTTTCAGAAAATTAAAAGTTGTTTGGATAGAATATTCTGTAAGAAAGTACATTCTAAAAGTACATTCAAACAGTAACTAAAAATAGATTTATAAAACATAACTATTTAAAGCTTTTGAAAAGTGAATTTAAAAAATAGGATGTTATTTGACCATACTACCTTAAGTTTAATCTCTTATTCTTTTATTTAAAAATAATTAATTCATTAAAAATATAATTATTATTTTAATAATAATAATTAGGTATCAATTTTTTTAGTATTATAAATTGAGTAATTAATCATGTTAATTTTTAGCATTAATGTATAATAAAAATTACAAATATTTATTACATCTTTTAAAATTATAAATTAAAAAATATAAATAACTAGAGATCAAATTTTTAATATTATAGATCAAAATTTATGTTATTTAAAATCTTTATTATATTTTTTAAATATTTTAAATATATTACATTTGTATAATAAAAATTATAAATTATTATAAATTAATGTTGTTTTTGGTAATTGTACATTCAAAAGCACATTTTACTATTACAAATCAAACAACTTTTAATGTATCAAACTGACTTTTAAAAAAATATATTCAAACATAAATTTCATTATAACAACTAACTTTCACTAAATTAATTTTCATCAAATAACTTTTTATCAAATAAATTTTTGATAAACTAAAAACTAAATGCACACTTAACCTTTCAACGAAACCATTCAATCTACAGGCATATCCATGTTTCTAGATAAAAGCAGGTCCATGTATCTTGCCAATTATTCACAATTCACGCTGGAATTGAAGGTCAATAGCTTGAAAAGATATTGTATTGCGAAAGAACAGATTCAATTCCCAAAAAATAAAATATTTCAATGGTATCCTGCTATTGTCATCCAAACAAAGATTTAGGTTCCATTGTGAAGTATATAGAATATTGGAGATTTTATTATATCTTCTTTCCCTTTTTCAGAGTAAATTAATTATTAATTATTAATTATTCTTTCCTAAAGTGAGAATTTACATGAAGAACTTTACAAGAGTCTACTGTAATTTATCTCAAACCTATGGCTGCCGCATGTATTTAAATAGTAGGCTAGTTTTTCCCCTGGGTTATGCAGGACTAGACTGCTTTCGCATGGGA